TTGTTCCTTCTTTCAATAACACTAAATCAGAAGGTAGGAAAAAGTAAAAGATGAAGGCTAATTGGATATTTATAAAGTCATGTAGCCTGTAAAACATACAGTCCAAAGAACCAACCAATATATTAACCACCCATATTGTACTTAAATATAAATATTTCAAATATAGTTAATGCCAAGTTGTAAATTATTAAACATTTACAAATCAGCTTATACATAGTTTAATATAAAGAAAAAAACTATAAAAGTCAAAACTGAATAAAATGTTTATAAGAAATGGTAGGCTTAGAAATGTCAATTGTAGATAATATTTGATAATCACCTTTAGACGATAAAGAGAAAAGTTTTTCTTTAATATATTATGCTCTTAATTTCCTGTTTCAGTACACCTAGCTTACATTTCAATACTCAGCTGTTCAAACATTTCATTGAAACCACCCTTACATTGTACATTTTTGTAACTTATGTTTTTACTGTGAAAGTGACATCCAAGTTAGATTATATATCTACAGTATGGATGGCCTAACTATACCAACTATTCATTGTTTATATTTATAAACACTGATTATTCTCACTAAGCATCCTATTATCACACTGTGTGGCCTATTTGTGTTATGTGAGAAAATACAGTAAATCTGCTTCATTAATTACTCCATACACTGAATGGTTAGTCTTTGAATAGGAAAGTTTATAAAAAAATAGCAATGACATGTTTAAAAAAATCTAAACTAAATCGAGTCCTAAATTCAGGCTGATTTTTTTTTAAAGTAATTTGATAATTAAATAGATCCACAGTATGTTAATTTATTTTAAGAGCAGAGTTCTTAAGTCTTAATTCTTTGCAATTATGGGTACAAAGTGAGAGGGTAAACATCCAGAAAACAAAGTTGATAGACAATTTCACCAAAAGCATTTTCAGTAATTAATGAACTCAGTGCAATGGCTGGCATGACGAGCATTACCGCACTAATGCTTGCTGACAGTACTACAAGGTTCAAAAAAAATGAAGGGAGTTCCCAAACATCTCCTGAAGTAGACGTGGTATCTTCCATCCACTTCCCTGTTTCTGATGTATACTAGAGATATTTTGGAAGTTATAACTGTCCTTCATAAAATGATAAAGTAATTTCACCAAAAGTGAAATCCTTAGCTCGCTAAGAGCAAAACAACGTTCAAAAGACGAAGAGGCTCCCAACCTTAGGGGATAGACTTACACAAGGTCTTTAAGGAATCTAGGTATGTTAGGTAATTAAAAACAGTGCAGTACTGGACATTAGAGAGATACAGTAGATATAGGTTTAAAGAGTGGGTATAAAATCCAGACTATTTTTCTAACTACTGTACAGTCAAGTACTGTCCAAATGGATGCTGATAAGGATAAGAGTTGGTGCCAAGACACCCCAAAAGAAAACTACTGTATTTACTCAAATATAAAATGATCCTGATTACAAGACAACCCCCCAATAATTAGATCCTACATATGAACATTTTTAGTTTTGTTATAATTTTCTAGGTATAAAACCTAATTATTGGAGGTTTGCCTTGATTTTGTCCCTCTCCCACTGCTACAGCAGGAAAAAAAAAATTGAGGAGGAGGGTTATTTAGTCCCTGTGTCCTCTGCCCCCCAACTTCTTCCCCCAGCAGCCCCTTCCCCTCCACTCTACTGTCAGACCCTGCTTTCCCTAAACACATGGAAGTAAGGGGCAAATTTGAAAACACGGACAGAAGAATTGATGCATTTTATCTCCTTTTTTTAAACTTTTATTAGTTTTAGCACTGGTACTCCATAAACATACTTTTAAGTAGCACTTCTGTATCTTCTTATATAGAGTACAAACTAAGCTTGATATTAATCTAAAGCCAAAAGGCTCATGATTTACCATATAGTTCACTGGGTTGGGACCCAGGAGAGTCAACAGCATAAACTCAGCACTGCTCAGTATGTGTGTGTAGACTTCAGATATCCTCCCACAAAGGATTAATGTGCTAATTACCAGTGCTGTGCGAAATGGCACCATTCCATTTTGACTTGAGTTTCGAGGGTTCCATGGAAGTGTTTTGTTTCGAATTTCATTTCAATTCGAAACAGCTGTTCTGTTTTGCTTTGTTGAAACAGTGAGGCTGTTTCGACGTTTGGCCCATTAGCTATAATGGGGAAGCTTGAAACAGCCTCTCTTATCTGGCAGGCAGATTGGGGCTGTAGGCCCCTGATCTGCCTGCCAGATGAGGGAGGGAAGCCAGTGCTGCCACCTGGGACTGGGGAAGGAAACTGAGCCCAACTGAAGTCAGCCCAGCTGGCCTGAGTTCCCATCCCCCCATGCTAGATCAGGCTGGGAAGTCAGCTCAGCGGGGCTGAGTTCCCAACCCCAGCCCAACCATTGCAATGGGGAAATGAAATCAGCCCAGCTGGGCTGATTTCCTTTCCCCAGTGCAATGGTCAGGTCAGCCCAGATTGTGGGGCTGGGAACTCAGCCCAGCTGACCTGACTTCCCAACACCAGTCCAATTGTAGGTCTGGGGAGGGGAACTGAGCCATTGGGCTCAGTTCCTTTCCCCAGCCCCATCGCAGTGCTTGGGGGGGGCGGAACTGAGCCCAGGCTCAGTTCCCTTCCCCTGTGCTGTGATTGGCTTCCCACACCCCAGTGGCAGGGGGGGGGGGGGGCCACGGCGGTGGGGTTTGCCGCAGCCCTGGTTCTCCCCCATCTCCCAACACCTCGCTGCTGGCTTCGAAACTCAAAACACTGACACTTTTGAAACATTTTGACTAGCCTTGTTTTGTTTCGAGGCTGTTTCAAAGCCCTTTGTTTCGATTCGATTTCGCTGTTTTGAGCTCGAAATGAGTTGAAACAGTGTCGAGTCGAAACAGCCGGTGAAATTTTGCACAGCCCTAATTACCCGCCCCACTCATGACTGGAACCAGGAGTCCATAGCCCTGGGAACCTCCAAAAATTGATATGCAGATGAGGTTCAGGGCAATCTAGTCCAGTTCTACCTCATGGAGAGTGGGACCACACTAATCATATACAACAAACTAAGAAAGAGATGACAGAGGAATTGTGGGTGAACTGCTTGGGATCCATTTGGTGATGTTTGCCAGACATTTAAGGCTGGTGAAGAAACAGGAATAATTGGAAATGGGAAATAAAAGGCAGAGCTCAGCTGTGGGAGTGAAGAGCACGTCGAAACGTATTCAATGTAGTGACTTACTATGACTTGAAAAAGAGTTGGCTCTGAGCGGAACTCAGCATAACGGTCACTTCCATATTCAGACGGGCTGTACTAACCTAGCCTTATGGTAGATTCCCATCAGTATGTTTGCCCATTGTGGACCATGTGCAGTGTTGGCTGCATTTAATCAACTTCGTAGTTGGTTTCTATTACTGAGCACATGCTGCTTTTGGCAGCAGTTTAATGATAGATAGTGAATTTAATGTGGTTTCTTTGTATGCAATTGTAAGACTAGGAACCTCTTTCCCCTCCATGATGATTGGGGGCAGGGAGAGGGGGGAAACCTCACCTTATATTGGTACAAATATGGTGCTTCTACTTAATTTCAAGGACTTTTTTTTTTTTTTTTGGGGGGGGGGGGGGGGGTTGGAAAAGAACTGGTTAGCCAACATCCACACTGTAAGATTGAGAGTTTGGTCATAAGATACAGCTTTTGTTTTCAAGACTATATGTAGCAAGTTGGGTATGGTGATATGGGCCTGTGTTGAGAAGCTCAGCAGATGCTAGTATCACAACTTCCTGACCTTGCCAAGACCTTGTTGGATCACTGATACAGCTTCGTCTTAATTTCTTTAGGACCCTCAGTACCATTGGAATTTGGTGGGGAAAGCATGCATCAACCCTTTATTTATCCCTTAGGATAAAAGATATTGCATAGCAGATCTGTAGTGTAGACTCTTATAGAACAGAACACTTGGCATTTCCTGGCTTGGCAACTTGGATGTAAAGACTAATACTGGATCTTGATCAACCACTTGTGATTATCCAAAAACATTTTCAATTGCTCATTAGCTACCACACCAGCAACATGATACAAAACAACTTAAAATCAGGTAGCTTCCTGGAACAGTGGAGATGACCTGGATTCTACCTGATGTAATGAATGGTTTTGTGGTTATCTATCAGTTCATGGAGTGTAGATTTTTGGAGCAAAAGCGTAAGTGTACTACCTGCCAAGCAATGGATCTAAATTTTAGCATACTTGTGTGCATCTGAGTTTTCTGAAGGGATGACAAGTTTGAGGATTATCCATATAAGCTCCCCATACCTAAGTTTTGTCTTAAGGTAAGAAGTAAAAGGAAACCCCCCCTTTTTAACATTACCTTAATAAGAGGGAACTTTTTCTGAGACTATGCCTATCATATCTATACAGCGTCTGTTGGATAGCTATAAGAATAGCTGAAATCGAGATTCGGAGCATAAATTAAATCTGACAACAGAACCATGCAGATTCTCGAAGCTATGCATCCCATGAGTGAGAGTCCTGATTATGTTAATGAATGAGCCTGAGGTTTGTTAAGGAGTGACTACTGCCTGCAAGAAAGTTTCCAAACGACAGTAAGTTTTCACTGAGCTGGAATTTAGGTTCTTATAAATTAGGTTTGGAGTTTAATAAATGCAGGATTTCCTTGTATGATTTTGAGAGCCAAATCAACAGAGGATTTAAGGATATCTGAAATTAGTTGGTCACCAGTTTGTCAGTCAACCAGTTGTCAAGGTATGGATAGATATGGAGCCCTGGTCTTAAATAAGCTGCCACATCTGCCATGCACTTGATAAAATACCATCAGTGCTATAGAAAGACCAAAGACCAAGACTCTGCGCTGACAGTAAGATGTTCTTATGAGAATCTGCTGTATTTCCTGCAGGCCAGACACACAGACATGAGAAAACAGTAATCCCACAGGTTAAAACCAGTAAGCCAGACCTAAGAATATGACAGAAGAATCATAGAGGCCAGAGTCCATCCTGACTTGAAAGCAAAACATTTAAGATTCTAAAAGTTTGAACTGAAATTTCAAATTCCACTTTCTTTGAGAGAAGAAAATAATTGGAATAAAAAACCCAGTACTTGAAATCTAAAAGGTAATTCATCCACTGTTCCAATAACATGCTCCAAGTTAAAGAAATTAGTCTACTTCTATCTGAAAATAAGAGTTCCTCAAAAGTGACTGGAATTAGGTACCCCCCTTGCTTCCAATTTTCAGGATTGCTTAATCATTCCCAGATCTAAGGTAATCCAAGTCTACACTTCCCAAAAATGAAAGGTGGTTCCCAAAGAAGACAAGAGCAGGAGGAAGAAATCCTTGGTAGGTTCTCCTGGTACCTAATATGCTTTCTGGCTGAAGCCACAGAACTTGGCAACATAAGAAAAATAAGCCAAAAATGATAACGATTGCTGGTAGAAATCTTACTACTTACTTCATTAGCAGCTTTGATGTCCTCCAGGGATGGTAATAATATCAGGCAAAAACACTGCTGAATAAGTTTTGTTGCCTTTACTTGCTTCTTTCTGGGTTCTGGAACAACCTCTCCCCTCCCTCCCAACCCCTGCCCAAGTCACCCCAGCCCATATAAGAAAAGAGGGTTTAATCAGTTGTAGAGTTAAAAGTGCTCGCTTGTACAGTGGGAGTGAAGCAAGGAAGCTCATCCTATTGCCAGCGCTGTAAGTTATATGCATTACTGTTAAATGCATGCTATGCTTCCTGCAGCTAAGTACAGACTATGAGCTGTCCTTCAGTCATGACAGTTTCCTGTGGGGGCTTGTCCACAGACTGTTTGTCCCAGTGTAAAAGTTAGATAAGAAATGAAAATTACCACAAACATTTGGAAGCTATCCGATTACAGTATCTTACTCTCAAAGATACTGAATTTCTTCAGGCCCTGCCCCATGGCTGTGAATTTGGAAGTCCCTCTTTTGATCTCTCCTAAATTGCTATTATAAACAATACCGGTGAAGGAGAGAAATAAAATACATATCCCTAAAGGGGTTCTGGCACCTTCCATCCACCTGCCTGACTGGTGTGTACCAGAAGTCTTTTGGATGTTCTAACTGTCCATTTTATTGGCATGAAAGGCAAAGGGGCAAGATATAAAGTTTCTTACCACCTCTAGGGACATCTTAAAATTTCCATACGTTTAACGAGGTCCAGAAGTATCTTAAGATCATCCACATAGCTATGTAGAGAAAAGATTAGTGACTCATCAAGGGAGAATCAGAAGTGATTATATGTTCTCCCTCCTTCCTCTTCCTGGTCTTTTTAGAATATGAGGCTATACTATTTGGTTTAGCTGGAATAGTCCAATTTACCTCTCCAGAGAGGAAGATTTAATTCTGAAAGGACAAGTGATGCAAACTTTTGAGAATACAGCTTCAGTGTGTCTAGCAAGGGGATACATGAAGAGGTACTAGGAGAAACACTATTTTTTTTGCACACAACACAACTCCAACTAAGACACGCATCTTGATTTTGGGAAGACAGCGTGAAGAAAAAAGATTTTTTTTCTAGAGTGATGGCTGCATAGAGAAGGGAAAGAACCTAATCTTCAGCTGACTCACCTTCCCTTTCCTACTTAATGAAAAGAAGAAACCCAACCTACCGCTGAAGACTGGTCTCCGTGATGAATTTATGATTTTGGAAAGAGCTAAAGAATCTCCAAGGCTGTGATACAGGGAGAGAGACCAGAAGCAGCTAGCAGGGAGGAAAACTGCTCTAAGAAAGGTTAGCTTGATTAGTGGAATATCAAGATCATTAAAAAGGAAAGACTTCTGTTAAAACCCAAGGAGTAAAGAGCAATGAGCCATTAAGACTCCTTTACCTGCCTGAATAATAATACAACTTCTGCTGCACTGTAAAGCAGGAATCAAAAGCAGGGTGTTAGTATTCTGGGCAGAAAAAATCAACTAGGTACCAAGCACTAAAAGTGTGCCAAGCTGAGACAGGAACAGTGGTATCTAGAGCTTCACAACCCAAAGTAAGTGCCAAAGGATAAGTACAGAGTAAAATAAAATCCCCATGTTTAGCAGGGAATGCTGAGGCTCTTTTATTATTTACTACATGGACAACCAAAGGGCTCTTTTCAGGTTTTTGACCTTCGTAAGGTTGAGACAACTGACCTGCTTCCTAGCTAATCTCCGGAGTAATATTTCTTTCTGTCCTTGTCAGTGTTTGTCAGATAGAAGAGCTGCAGATGACTCGGCTTCTTAATCAGTGCAGGCCAGGATATCAGAGTAGAATTCTAATGTCATTCAGACACCCAGGAAAGACTGACTCTAGACAACAGTTCTTACTCTCCTCCCCTTTCAGGGGAAGCTTGAATCAAGGACTCAAAAAGAAAAACATATGGTGCACTGATCCTGGATGTGCACTTCTCCTAAGTAGAAGAGGCACCAGAAATGCCAGTTATTAACTTCTGCTAAAGCTCACTTACAGGGGAGGGTGTGTGCATATACCTATAGAGTCAAATTTAACTAAGGGAAAAATAAATAAATAAATAAATAAATATATTGTATATAAAATATAAAAAAAATATATATATATATATAAAATATATGAATATGAATATGCCCACACTCTTCCCTCAGTTAGATCTTATGTAGCAGTCCCCGTATCCAAGAGGCGAAGATCTAAACAACCAAATAGTTAGACTACACTAATTCAGTATAGAAAGGAGCAGAACGCTTCAGAGGTCATACCATCGTGGGCAGGAAAGAAGGATAAAAATGCCTTTGGGTACTCTGCCTTTCAGCTTTCAGAAGGGGTGAGAGGAAGAGAACAAGATCAAGGCACAACCAAAAAAAAAAATCCATGCTGACAACAACACAAAGAGCCATGCATCACTTTAAAGTGCAAGTGAAAACAGAATACGATTAAAGGTTTTAGTAGCTTTGCAAAGTCAAAATACTAATAATTAAATAAGACTTAAAAAGTGACTGCTGTAAATAAGTAAAATGAAATTGAGAAGCTTTTTGGGCAACAGTAATAATCAGCATTTGAAAAGTGATTATGTTCTACTTTAGACTCAAACAAGACTAAAAGTTTTTAAATTTTGCAAAAAGTGAAATTATATATTTACAGTCTGTTGCTTCATCCCTGGGGAAGTATCTTTCAGAACTTAAGCTAAATTACTAAGTACCATTACATGCAGAAATTTACAGTTCTAAATTGAAAATAATTGTGCATACCTATTGTATCAGCTTTACTAAATCTTCGTGTTACAACATTGTTCATATTTCCATTTTCACAAAGTTTTAATTCCGTGAGATATACTTCTACTTTGCAGTGCTTTACAAACATGCCCTGTTCAACCACCTGGGAAAAAAGAAACAGATCAGTGTTACTTATGAATCTAAATATATATTAGTACACAACTGTTTAAGCTTCAGAGACCTCAAAAAGAGTCAACAAAATACATAAAAAGTAGTTAATAAATGCCAAGCCAGAAAAGATTCCTAACATAAATAATTTTTAGTAATTGAATTTTTAAATGACAGTTATATATCTCTTTGTTTGCTGTTATGAATGTTATTTGAATACTGACGCTAATACTATATAGTTATGATTCAATTAACATTAATATCACATGCATTACAAGGGCATACATATTTTAACAATAGGCACATTAATCTAGAAATTACAGTTTTAAAACCTTTAAGAATCAATTTTCTAGTTTTGCATATTATGACTATGACACAACAGTTAACAATCTCGTTTCACACTACCAATAAACTTTGAACTACCACCACAGCACTATATTAACAAGCCTCAATAGTATGCAACAGACTTTTAAACTGTTATTAAACAAGAACTACCAACCAAACCTTTGCATTTATGCTCTGGATATATTCATTATCAGCTTTATCCACGCCCAAGTCTTTAAAAGAATACTGTTCCTAACAGATTTGCTTCGCAACATCTTCTACCAAACAGTAAAACAGTGAGGAAAAAGTGCACATAAATGAAAGAAAAATCCAGAAAAAATATTCAGGGTCACCTCTTAAATCTATTTTCCTTGGATCCTCCAAAGTGTAATTGCAATACTTAGTCATGTAGACTGTTCTGAAAATAGCCTGATATGTGATACACCAGACAAGTATGGTAAAAAGGAGGCACCAAATAAACGGCATGAGATAACTACTATACCAAGATAGCTTAAAAACATTCAGTACAGCAAAAAATACTCATTAATGAAGTATTCTGTCAATGTTTAATTGCTTGCTTTGTGTTGTAATGACTATCAACTAGTGTGACATTTAACTAAAATGCATCTTAAGTTTAACAGTTTACTGACAACACTATACTAGTCCAGCTCTTACACTGATTTACTGCATTTTTGAAAAGAAAAAAAAAAAGCAGAAAGCCTGCTACAGAATCAGTTGGGTCACTGGATGATAAGGGTGTCACAGGATTAGAGGAAAGGTCCATTTGCAGATTTGAAATTGGCTTAAGGATAGAAAACAATATGTGGGTATAAATGGTCAGTTTTCAGAATGGTAAAACGTAAGTAGTGGAGTTGCCTGGGGATCTTTGCTGTTTAATATATTCAACATGACCTGGAAAGAGATGATTGGGTGACCGGGGGGGGAGAGTCAACAATGAGGTAGCTTGGAGAAGATGCAAAATTATTCAAAGTAGTAAAGACTGTGAAGAACTTCAGGACCTTGCACAAAACTGAGCAAATGGGCAAAACTGCACTTATTGATACTGAATTTAATTTGCCAAGTGATGCAGATAGGATAACTCAAAATATACATACAGAATGATGGGCACTACATTAACTGCTACCACACAGGAAAGATCTTGAAGACACTGAGCACAGTTCTCTAAAACATCCGCTCAGTGTTAAGCAGCAGGGAAAGCAGCAGATAAGGGTACTTGTATACATGCTTGTGCTGCAGTGCCAGGTGCTTTTAAAAGTGCCTGACCTGTGGCACATGGCACATAAATAGAGAAATGAGTGTCAGCGCTGAGAAACTGGTAGCAATGCACTTCTGAACTAACACACTGAATGTGTTTTAGTTTGAAAGTGCACCAACACCATTTTCTGCACACTGACACACATTTCACCACTTATACAACTGCACACAAAGCAATGCAGCAGGTGTCAGTTTGTGTATGGAGCAGACTTGATTAATCTAGTCTGCTCTGACCCACCAGACCTCCAGCGTGTTATGGGACAAAAAGTTAAGTGTATAAATGCCCTAAAATGTTAGGAATGATCAAGAATGAAATTATATAACCCCCCCCCCCCCCCCCGAAAATATCACTCTCCTCCCCTATAAGTCTATTGTGCATCTATACCTTGAATATTGTGTGCCTACACCTGCCCTACCTTGGTCCCCAGAACTCAAGGTTACAGAGCTAGAAAAGATGCAAAGGGCAACACGGATGATTAGGGGCATGGATCGGCTTTCATAAGAGAAGAGACTAAATAAGCTAGTACTTTTCACCTTAGAAGACAGACACTTGAGGGGGGTCATGAGAAGTTTACAAAATATTAGATGATACAGAGAAAGTAAAAAGGGATTTATTATTTGCTGTCTCAATACTAGAACTAGGGGGATATAACATGAAACTATTTGGTAGTAGGTTAAAACTAACAGAAAGAAATTATTTTTCATACAGTGAGTAATTAACTCAAGGAACTCACTGCCACAAGAAGTTGTAGAGGCTGGTAGCTTAACCCAGTTCTGGACTGGACCAGTTCTTGGAGGAAAGCTCCATCAGTATATATTGAATATGGTAGAGAGGGGTGCAGCCTCTGAAAAATCACAACTTCTTATACCTCTGAAAACTGGAAGCTGCAATGGGAGAACAACAGGGAGTGAAAGAGTCTGGATATCACTGCTCATCTCCCCCCCTCCCCCACCCAAGCATCCATTCTCTGCCACTGTGAGACAGAACACTGGGCTTGATGGTCTGACCCAGTAAATTCCAATTTTTATTTCTAATTGTTTTGGTGTAGTGTAATGTAGTGCAATTTATTTTCAGGTGAAGGCAGTATTAAGCAAAGTACAACTGACAACACATCAGTGCTCTGACTACATATTAATATCTATAAAGCACCCCAGAATTAAGAACTTCACCCATGCTGGGTCAATGTAAATTTGTGCCTACATTTCCAAATACGACAACAGCAAAGAATGCTATTATGGAGAAGGGATAAAGGAAAAGTACACAGTGTAAAGGGGTATTACTCTAATCTGACAGGGCTAAAGATGAACACCTATCCACTACCCTGACAAAGACTAACGATACACGAGAATAATCAATGAACAATGAGGAAGAAAAAGGAAAGAAATAAGCAAGAGGAAAAAATATTTATCTTCAGCAACTGTAATCCAAAGAGAGGTCTCAAAAGATGAATACCAACAGATAGATGTACCTGAGAGAATCTGGCAAAAATTCCCTTTAAGCAATTCTTAGCTAATGGAGTCTAAAGGGTATACTTAGATGCCTACTATTGTTAATATTTAACTGGTGAAGTCTTTCCACCATTTTTTCACCAAAAATTCCACCATAACAACTAGTAAACAAAGATGAAATGTTAATGGCAGCTTTATTTAGTGGACAGGAAGGAAAGTAACCATTTAAATGCTGAAATGTATGGCTACAGCAAACACCACTTAAGACAAATATGTTTTTCTTTAAGAAAAAATAAAATTTTGTTGGGACTCCTACTTTTAGAAACTAAAAAATTCCTGGGGTGCTTATTTAAAAAGGAAAGTGACACCGTAAAAGGTAGTATGTAGCAATAAGGAACTGCTTCAATTAAGCATTATTTTCATTTTCTTAACTCTGGCTCCTGGCAAAAGTGAATCTTCAAAGAGTCTGCCAACTTCTGCAACTTCTCTGGCATCTGCTCATGAAAGACTCATGATTACCAAAATAAGAGGCAGTTAAAGACTGGTAAACTCTGTGTCGTAAGTCAGTCACTGGTGCTGTACTAACAATTTTACCAGATCTAAGCTCTTGCTGCTGCAGATTTCATCACCAGATTCTCAGAAACAGAACTGGAATGACAGCACAGTGGCCTAAAAACTATTTTTCAATCAATTTAGAAACAGCTAATGTAACAAAACTGTTATATCATCTCTAACTAGTCTGGATGAGGATGTGTTGAAATTGCTGTCCTGAAAATACAAGTGACATCTCCAGATTTAAAAGGAACACTTTTCTATAAAAAGGGGAAGGGTCAAGTCATATCATCCCAGAAAGAGACTTGTCTTTCACACTCCCTACTAGAGAAAACCTTTGCCTTCCACATGGCATTAAAATCCAGTAGGACACCACTACTCAAGGACTTGTAAGTGAGTATACCCAAGGCAGCCTGTGCTTAAGACATGAGCTCTAAGTAGTCCTCAAGTCTGTTATAATCTCACAGGATATGTGCAGCTACTGACCCATGCGTCTAAGCCTTTTGTTGGATGGAAGGCTCCATTATTAGCATTAGCATGCTGCTTATCTGCCAGAAGATTGACACACCATCATAACAATTTATTTACAGAAGAGTTTGTCTGTTAAACATATGAGAAACAACTGTGTTAAATTGGTGCCAACTTCATTAGAGCAGTAGAAACTTTCCTTTGATAAAATAAATACAACTATTAGGGATTGAACAGAATCCCTAAAATAAGAATAAGAAGTATGCCCCCCAAATAATTATATTAACTAAAAAAAAAAATTGATGCATTCATCCTGAGCCACACTCAATGAGATCCTAATCAGAAGTACTCTAATTGACTTCAACACAACTGCTGTATATACTATGCATCATTTGTAGTCCTAAATTTAGAAATATCTTAGTTTTAGCAGTTAACTTGCTTACCATACCTTGCGTGCTATTGGCTCCTGACCTTCCATCAATGTGTACCAGCTAACTAGTTTATTCCAGCCTTCAGTTGGCAAAAGGATATAGTCCAGCTCATCAATGAGATGCTCCTTAAGAGACTGAGAGTCACCATCTGTGAAAAAAATTTCATCAAAAAATTGTGGTGAACATAATCATAACTATTAATCAAAAATATTTTAATAATGCTGAAAATACTAAACATGTAATCATTTACTGCTGCTAAGACAAACACATTATTATTGCTTGAAAATTCAATAGCCAAACGTTGTTATGACTAATTTAAATATTTAAAAACTACTTTAGCAATGAATTATCCAATACAAGTGTGACTGGATTACTATAGTTAATTTCTTCTATCCATTCAAGCAGAAATTGAATTTAATTAAACCGCCTAGGCTTCCTGGGCATGTAGTCCACAGTGATCAAAGTGGTATCCATGCTATATAGCACTACAATACAAGAAGTCTAATGTTTCTGCTGTAAAAATCTCTCTCATTGGACCACAATACATGATGGAATATTCAGAAAAAAGCAGCATGCATGACAAAAAGATCCCAATAATATCCCTTCGTCCGTCCGGCTGAGGAAGTGTCTGCACTTGGTCTGACCAACTGCAGACACTTCCCTCAGCCAGACGAAGGGTATTTGTACCTGAAAGTTTACAAAGAAGAATTTTTCCAACTATTTAGTTGGTCTAATAAGATATCGGATTTACCCAAAGAACCTTGTCTGTCTATGTCCTTAGACCAACACTGCTACAACCTATACCCCTGAACCAATGATATTTATTTTTTCATTTATGAAAAAATAATGTGCTTTCATTTATTTTTTGAATTTTTAATGCAAACTTTCCTAAAATATCACAGATAATACTCAGTATAACATGGTAGTGCTAGTCAGTGTTTTCTGTGTCCTGAGTCTGATCCACTGTGTGTTTAGATGCATAACAATCTGCACTGAATACCTGTCTTGTTCTCTCAGCATAACTTATGTTCAATTTTCCCACTGCCTGGTTTAATCCTTCATACATCAACAAGATGCTGATGTCATGCAACTGTTGGACCCCTGCAAGATTTGAACTGAGTTGGGTCTCATACATATAGGACAAACTTCTTCTACAGGAATTATGTTAACCACTGGCCAGCACATAACTCCTCTGGATCAGATCACAGAAGACCATAGTTAAATTGTAGAGATTCATGCTTTCAGTTCTGGCAACATTGTCCGTGTGTGTGTGAACATGGCTGTTTGGTACCCTGGGGACAACTAGTGGTGGCGCACTGTGTGCCACTGCTAGTTGTCCCCATGGAACACCCATGCCATAGGCGCTCTGACTCACAGCAAGTTAGACCAAGCATGCTGGCCCCATGAGCCTTACCTGGGATCCTAGGGGCCTTCCAGAGCTGCAGCAGTGGCAATCCTGCTGCACGGAGCCTGGCCAGCAGCCAGAGCATGGCTCCAGCCAGCACAGCTCCGATTTTTAGCAGTGATTACTGCCCCCACATGCGCTGCTCTGCTTTTTTTTCCTGCAGATTTTTTTTGACCTCCTAGATATCTATTTTCAGTGTACAACCTATTTTCATTGTATGATCGTGAGTTGCAGAAACTACAACCAACTCAAATTTGATTAATTTCCCTCTTGTGTTCCTCCCTTCGGAGCTGCTTTTAAATAAGTTTTTGTTTCCTTATGAAGAATAAGGCCTAGTTCTCCCCACAAAGACAAAAAGAGACTAAACACACAGTATAAATATTAAGACCTTTTAAATTCTCTTTATCTTTTATTTTGATTATACTTCTATAATTATACTAACTAAATGACAGTGACTTTTGTAAAAGATACTGATGTATCCAACAGCAAATTTTATATTAAAGTACTGAGTTAAATTGACATTTCAAAATCAGAAGCCCTTAAATAAACTCTACTTATATCCTACAGTAGCAATTTTATCCATTACCATTTCAGTTTAAGTTGATTAAGATAAAACAGTACAACTTGTATGTATGTACACATGACTAGCTGTTTGCGAACATTCACACTCTTCATCAGATTTCATGGTGCTCACCAACCTGACTCAAAGTTATCATTAAGTTAGTCAGGAAGAAAATAAAAATGTTGTATATTATAACATAATTGTTTTAACATAAAAGTGCCCCTACAAATAAAATATAAACTGCAACCATTCATTATTTACACCATAGGGCTCCCTTACCTCAGTCTGAAAGCAGAAAAGGCTTACTTTAACAAAATGCCAATAAAGATTAGCAGAGGGGGAGGAGGGAGGACAATCTTTTTCAAAACATTTATGCAAAAATCTTTAAAAGGGGGATAAAATATTAATTAAATTTAACAGATTAAAATTTTATCAATAAGAAATTCATACTAAAACTATAAGTCTGCTATCCCTAAATAGTAAATTACCTTTGAGGAGTCCAGAATTATCAATAGGGCCAGGGTACACATTCTGATCTCCCATCTGGTATTTGTCCCAGCTGTCAAACCCAACATATTTTTTCCACTGTTTGAACCAACGACTATCCACTAGATACCTTAGAAGAGAAGCAGAAAAAAATTATTAAATTAGCAGCAAAATAAGAAGTAAAAGTTCCAGTATTTGTTACTGTATTCAAGGTAAGATGGTTTTGTATGGTAAAATACTCTCATTTAAGAGTCCTAGGTAACCTGACATTTACAATTTTTTTAAAGTACATCAGGTACCTCAAATTTCCTTGCAAACAAGGTGTCAAATCCTCCAATCTCTCTCAATTCTAGTCATACAGGCAGGAGAAACTCTGCCAGGGAAGGCATCAGCTCCTCCCAGGCTCACTGTTCCCCAACTGCAATGGCCCCTGCCAGCCCACACCTACTGGCCACCAGTGTACCTGTGCACGGCCCCAGCCGCCCACCCATGGGGCCCGAGCCGGGGCTCTGGCATGGGGTAAGCAGTGGGACCATACACCTGCCCGTGCCCCGCTTAGCCTAGTGGGGGCTCCCTCCAGGGCACCCGGCACTGGGATGAGGTACACACTCCATGCGTGAATGTATGACTGGAGCGGAACAGGGCACGGGTTATAGCCCAGGGACAGGGGAGCTCTGTGGGTTTGGCTTGCACTAGCTCAGGCCCTGCAGTCCTGCCGGCCCTGGCCTTAAGCCCCGTGCTCCTGCTGACCCAGGCCCCCCACTCATGCTCCCCACCTGCCTCTTCTCGCTGCTGCCACCACGCCTCCCCGCCTGCTGGCTGCCCCAGCACATGCTGGAGCAGACCCCGCACTCCTGGGCCCCGCCGGCCTGGGCTCCAAAGCTCACACTGCCCAACCCCCCACCCTCCCCTTCTCGCTGCTACAACTCCTCCACTCCCGCTCCAGCACCATGTGCCAGAGCGGACCCCAGGCTCCTACCACCCCTCCCTGGGCTCTCACCTGCTGCCTCTTAGCGCTTCCTTCACCACTGCCACCGCTTCTTCCCCTGCCCGCGCTGAGCATTATAACAAATGTGCTCAGCACTGAGTAAAACTAGGTAGGTATTTTAAATGAGCGCTATAAGGAAACCATGGTAAGTAAAGGTTGCCCGTACTATACATTCCAAGTAAAATCTTCAGATGCAAATGTCATTTGGAAGTTGAAAGTGTCTCTTCATTGTAACTGCAAAAGACTTTTGTAACAAGTTGCAACAAAGTAGCCTTGTGAAATAGATACTTCTGTACCTGAGCTCATAAATGTGATTTGCCATTCTTACAACCAAGAATTTTACTTTTTTAAAACTGGTTGCATTATTTATACACAGCGCACAGAATTTTGCAAGGCTGCCAATATAGCATTAGAGAAGTTAAAAAAAGTTGCATTACTTTATTCATCCCAAGCCATAAACAACTTTCACTTTGCTCTCTCAAGTCACTAGTTGAGTGGTCAGTTTTCTTTGGACAAAAGGGACAGCCAGGCTTTTTTCCATCAAATGATCTATTTTTGAAAAGGTAAATTGCTAATCATCTCAATTTGTGATAAAAAAATAATTTTGTTGTTCTACAATTAAAATTACAGCACATTTTAAACTTGCAGCCTCCCATGCACCAGGTCTAGCATGCAAGGCCATGCTGGGCCTACAGGGCTCTCCTTGGATCCAAAAATTCAACTGAGCAGCAGCAATTAATACCACCACTGTTCCCCCACTGACAAATGTTCAGATATGGAGAGCCCTGTCTTTGTCCAGATAGGCCCCTCTTGGTCTGCTATCTGGTACCATGTAAACCAGCACAGCCTATTCCATGGCAGGCTTTAAACAACTAAACCAACGTTCCCAGTTGGGTTAGCTTGGGTGAGGAGGGTGTATGAACACCCAGCGGGACTAAAAACAAGACCTGTCAAAGGGCGGATGAGTTCGCTGCAAGTCAGTGCCCATCCATACCTGGAGAGGAGATGGGTGCTGCCACGTCACTCTGCCTGCCCAAAGTATCACCAATGATGTAAAGCAACTCAGTGAACCTACGAGGGTTGTTACAGCATCTAAGGGGCTCCAACAGTCACAGCGGCCTCAGGGTTGATTTGACCTGGGAAGCTCTGCAGGCTGGATAAGGCTCTGCAGGCTGCATCTGGCCTGTGGGCTGGAGGTTGAGCATGTCTGATCTAGCACTTATCCAAAACCTTAGCCCTCCAGGCACTAAAAAAGCAAGAATATCACTGATTCTGGCTTAGAGGATGAAATATAATAATCAGTTCTGACACTACAGTTCAACTCTGATGCCATACACTGTACAATTAATCTAACTGTACACAGATACAATAAACACTGGTTAATTCGCCACTCCAAGGGAATGCAAATAACGGTCAATTATCCATCAGTGACCAAATGTGAAGAGTTAAGAGCAGGAAAGGAAAGAGCAGGCAGGCAGTCCCTGAGGGGGAATCTATCAAACTAAAACCATGGTGACAAATTATCCCATAGGTGAATTAACTGACATTTACTGCATAATAAAAGTTCACATGAAAGAGATACAGGTAACAAGACAAGTCTTGAAGCCTCACAGTCCTACTTTCAGGCTAAAATGTAGCCTTTCAGTCTAATCATAAGTCTAGCCAGTACCTCAAATTATTTTAATTGGTTTTTTTCTCCTGTTACCATATTCTACAATAAAGGGACCAAAACTGACCATCCCCACCCCGTCCCCCACTGTCTGCCCAGAGGTGTGCGTGCAGTCTGGGACTCCAAAGCCTGGTGCAGCTGTTTGCAGCCTCCTGGCTGTCGGTCACAACTGACCTGAGCTCTGGGCAGCTACAGGAGGGGTCCCGTGCGACAGCACCGGTTCCATGGTAGTGGCAGCTGTGCACGCCTTGGGCTGACGGCAGGGGAGGGGCGAGGGTTATACTGGGGCTCTGGACACTGGTGCAACTGTTTGCAGCCTCCTGGGTGCCTGCCAAAGCCAGCCCAGGCTCTGGGCAGCTGCTTCCTGCCATGGAGCCCTGGCTGCCTGAAGCAAGGCTTGCAGCCTCCTGCTGCAAGCAGCCCGGGCTCTGTGGCTGGTGACAGCTGCCCAGGCCAGCTCTGGTGTTCCAAGAAAAATGGCCTCATGTGCCATGCTGTGGCATGCATGCCAGGGGTTGCCGACCCTTGCTTTAAACAGTCATGCCACTATTACTGCGGAAGTCTTTACTCCAGTTACTGCTTCATCACTTACATCTACATGAATCTTTTCCTCAAATGCTTATTAAACTCCAAATTTCTTTCCCACAGCAACTGCTCATTGATTATATTAAATTCTGCAAATTATTAAGAGGAAAACACCACTGAAATAAAGTATTTTTAACTAACCATAACTTTCCTCAACTGTTCTTTTGGGGCTAAAAAACTGTGTAAAGTATCAAGATTTTTTTAAATTAAAAGGGAGAAAGAGGATGTTTAAGGGAAAACAAATCAGCTCTTTTTAAAAGCTTAATAAATGTAAAAAAGGATGTTGCTGCAATAACCAAATAATTTTTACACTTGGGGCACAACAGATCCAAATCAAATGAGATCTTATATAAGGGTGAGACAGCATAATTAATGCCCTAGTCTAAAATTCTGGAATGTACATAACATGGTCGTGCTTATACTCTGTAGGGGAAACTAAATTACGTTACCATGGCTTTAAAAGAAGTCTTCTACAATATTGATATTTTCAGAATTGTAACAGGATTCCCTTAACGCGATTAGAGAGGACCAAATAATTCTATGAAATAAAACCAACCCACACAAAGTTATGTTAACTAAGCTATAGTAGAGATAATGCAAGTGAGAGGCCAACTCAGTCCACAGCCTGGCTGGATGGACAGCAAACGGCGGGAAGAACGCTCATGCAGGATACGTGCTTTGTAAAAGAAGCAGACACTCCTAAGCCAACATACAATATGTGTTCACATTTAAGTCTATAGATTTCAGGCTTCAAGTAACATTTCTTTAAAGAAATTCATTGGGAAGACCAATTCTAGACAGGGTGGATTTGATTTAAATCAATTTTATTTAAACCACTAGTCAGGAAGTCTTGATTGCCATTGTTTTCTTCAAAAAGTGCATTCTTGTTGTTTGATATCCTTTATTCATTTAACTTCTTTAAATTTTGCACTTTTAGAGAAAAATAAGGGCTTGACTGTGCGTACACAAACTTGCAGAGACATGAAGGCTGATGGGTAGGTAATCAGGTCTGTTATCTCTCACCTCTACATACTGCTGTTAACAAGGATGTTATCTCTGGAAACAACAAACTCTCCCTTTGCCTGAAGAAGGGCGTTTGTGTGAGCTTGCAAAGAACAGTTTTTCCAACTGTTTAGTTAGTCTAATAAAAGATATCACGTCTAGCCAAAGAACCTTGCTTGCCGATGATCTCTGGAGACACAAATCCACAGTTTGAGAACTGAAACTAAGCAGCACAGAGATGCTTAATGGGATCTTCTAGACTGAGCACGGAGTCCCACTGGGTAGCGTGGTTTTCTTTAATCTTTACTATTCTATAGAGGAGCCTCTGGGAACCCCATAAGATTGGGCCCCAAATACAGGTCAGTTGCATCTTACACGGGGCTAAGGTGCTGAAGTCAGCGCATAAGGCGAAAACTGGTGACTATATGTGAGGTGGGAGGGGGTGGGGCTTGAGGGTGCACGCGGCGCCGTGCTTAGAGCTGTGCGGCTGGCGGCAGCAGCGCAGCATGGTGTGGTGGTGGGGATGGCTGCGTGCCGCCTGGCAACCACCACGCTGCCTGGCGGCCGGCCACACAGCTCCGGGCACAGCTCCATGGCAACAGCGGGATGTTTTGGAGGCAGTGGCCGTCACCGCCATAATGGGCCTCCAGGTAAGCGACAGCACCACGTGCAAACTCAAGCCCCGCCCCCCCTCCCACCCCGCGTATAGTTGAATTCGCGCAAGTTAAATGCACGTATGATGCGACTGACCTGTAGCATATGATTTAGGGGTGCAACGATAGAGGTTTTTGGGGCCGATACCGATAGCCAATTTTTAAAGCGGTATATCAGCCAACACCAATCCATTTTCTGATACGTAGCCCAGCAGTTTGAAGAGCAGTGTCCG